TTTCGCTCCCACATGAGTGTCCCCGTCCAACTGAAGACAGTGGATTCTTTTCATGGTTTGACTTTAGCTTCTCCCCCACCCATTCTCTCTATGGCATTCCCCTGATGGATTATGAACACTGTGATTGGAAAGTCTCATGCATTTCCACACATGGGTAGACATTACTGGTAGTGAGAATCTTGTCCTATTTTTCCCTTTCCTGAGAAGCCAAAAAGGATTTGGATTAATGTCTTTCTTTATCTGGTGTTCTATGAAGCTTTGCTTCAGATTTGTGGATCAAGAATGCCCTCTTCTCAAGTGCCCAATGGAGTATATTATCCTGGGTGCAAAGCTGTCTCACCCGATGCACTTCAGGCCCTGGCATAGTCTCTGTCTGCACCCTACCATCTTGTTTTCTGGGTTCTCTTGGCCTGCAGGCCATTTAAGAGGACAGGTGACCAGGGAAAGACTCTTGACTCAGATAACAGTCTTGGGACCCTGTCATCAGCGGCTCTGGAACCAGCTTAATAAAGACGAAATCCCAGGGATGCGAAAGTCACCACTTATCATTGTTTTTACAAAATTGCACTTTGAATTTTCAGTTGACATATTTTGTGGCAGTTCATGTTGAGTGAAAGTTATGGAGAGGGGAAATCTAGAGGCAAAATCTAGCTGAAAGAGAAAGGGACCAGCATCAAGGTCTTGGGCTAGGTAGGCCAATTTCCATCGAGAGAGAGAGGGTGGCACAGTCAAGAGAAATTGCGCGGGTCACTGGACCGTGTGGACAAGAGAGCAGAGGCAGGAGGAGATCCGTGCAGTTTGGTGATAGGTCTTCCTTTTTCTCACGGAATGGTGGTGAGGGTTTTGAGCCAGCTGCGGACAAGGTGAGAGAGAGCTGCTCTGCACATGCAGTTTTTGGGGCCTCAAGATAAGCTTCTTGTCATGTGGGTCACTGGGAGATAGTAGGAAGCCTTGAATGTGGCTCTTTCTAGAGCATGACTGTTAGGCTCCCTGGACCTGTCTGGGGAAGGTCAGGGAGGCAGAAGAAGAGAGGACTTGGTGTCATAGATGGACATGATTATTAGGAAGAGAAGATTCTTAGTGAATTATAAAAGGTGTGTTTGGGTAGACATGCTAAGCACGGGGCCCCTACTCTTAATCAGAACAAAAGTATGAACGGTATCCAGTTTCCATTCAGTTTGTCTCCGTATCCTCCTCATCACTGCCTAGACACAGTGAGCATGAGAGGGACAGCACTCATAGTGAGGGGAACATGTGGGCAGCTGTGCCTCAGTCACTGCCTTCCCCAGGAGGGCCGGGTCTGTGTGGTGCCCAGGAGGGCTGAGTGGATGCCCCGACCTTTTGTTTTACTGTTGGTCACCAAACACAGGGAAGGTGCTTTACTGATTTAAGTTGCTTATTAAATGCCACACTGACTGCTGCTGGTTAAACAAGTTATTGTTTGTGACAGCGCAGAGTGTGAAGCTACAGTGCTGCCAGTGACTTCTCACACAGCGCATAGCGACTGTGATGATTACTGCAGCTGCCGTGCTGCGGTTGTGGCTTCTGGTGGCCGTGAACCAGCAGCCTCAAGGTGACTCAGGGGTCAGGGCTGTGCTGACTGCCACTTTCTGTCTGGAGGTGGGAGAGAGAAAAGGATGAGGTGGAGCTCCAGTGTGCAGCTGTTTGTTCTACCCGAAAATCTGACATTGGTGTCTTTTGTAATTGAAATAGTCCCTCATGGCACCGTGAATACATACATCTTTTGCACGATGCCTGCAAACTGCACCTGTCCTGACAAAGTGGGAATTGGCTTCTTTTGTAGCAGGTCCATTATGAGGCCTCTGGACCACTTAATAGAGCCATTTTTTGAGGTACTTGCCTCCTGGCCCGGTTGATGGGGGCTCCAAGTGCTCCGTTTGGATTAGAAGCTGATTGGTGAACTTGGCTTGTCAATCCTATTCTCTGGACAGTATGGAAAGGGAACACCATGGCCATGCGTCCCCCATACACACATACACATATATTCATACCCACAGACCTACACACTAGCCCCTCAGATCATTGGTGAGAGGAGGGTGAGCCCAGGTCTCCAAGCAGGGGATCCTCGGTTTCAACTGCCCCTGTTCCAGGCAAACATCTAGGTTTGAGACAGGAGAGGAGGGCTAAAGCTCCCCAAGAGGTGCTTTTGATTTTTCTTCTGAAGCTGTCTTAAATGTCTTGAAATCAAACCAGCTAAACTAGGTACCCCATGACCACTCTGGGAAATATTTTCTTCAACTGCAGAGACCTTTGGCCACAGACAATATTGCAATCTGCCTGGCGCCAGTGGGGTCTTGAGAGGGGGCAACAGGAGATTAAGAAAAAAAATAGACACCTACTAAAAGGAAAGCTTGGGCCTGATCTCTCTGATGGAGAGACAGTGACAAGTTAACACAGTCTGTACCTTTATTTATACACAGTGAGGGCTGGGGATTTAGCTCAGTGGAGTGAAATGTTTTTAGAGTTGGTTATGTTGTAGTTAACAAGGGGAAACACCAAGGCCAGACACCTGATGAACTGGCCGTGCTCTAGTTTTATGGAGTTTGCAAACCTCCAGCTCAGCCACGGCTCATTCATTCCCCACAGACTCTCCCACGTGACTCCCCCTGCAGCCATTCCAGATAATTCTGCATCTCAGTACACTTTCATCACTGAGACTCCTAGGGACCCTGTGCTTACTGATGACCAAACAGAATGTTTTTAAACATGGGCCAGCGTTCCTCTTTTCCTTTAGAAGCAACCTCCCATACTCCTCGTGGTTCAGCCTGTGTGCTGTTCCCACTGGTGTTACATGGCATATTTGTGCCCATTTGTTGTTTCTTTCTTAGTAGAGCATGCTAAGTTACCAAGAGCTGGTAACAATAAAGGTCACTGATACCAAAAGTGACCAGTGGCTAGGGGTGATAGCACAGAAAGTGGGTACCAGCAGGGAACAATCAAGAGTGATGGAAAATTGCTGGACCTACCATCTCTCATGGAGGGAAGAGTTCCTGGTGCCTGTTGGTATCTGCTTGCTCTGAGTGCCATGGAGAGCCACAAACACAAATAGGGCTGGTAACATCTAGCATTGAAAACATAGGGCTGTGAACACTAAATGAGCTATACTTTGTCAAGTTGTGATTTTTGCAAGAACCCTCATCAGGTTGGTAACATCTTGGAAACACACAAAGGGATGCTCCCCTAACAAGGGCCATGAGGGAGAAGAGAGGGAAAGCCGATGGCCATCAAACAGCCCAAGTTGGGTGTGGTGGTGCACATGTGTCATTCCAGCACTCGGGAGGCTGAAACAGGAAGATTGCAAGTTCAAGCCCAGCCTGTGTAACTTAGCAACGTAGTGAAACCTGGTCTCAGAATAAAAAACAAAAAGAAGGTCTGGGAATGATGCAGTGTGAAGTCCCTATGTTTAAAAAAAGGTGGGGGTGGGGGAGATGAAAAGAGAGAAAGAGCTTTTGATTGCTGTCTTCTGTGTGGCTGAGAATGCATGCTAACTAGTGACAGTGCTGGCCACCCTGTGCCAGCCTGCACAGGATACAAAGTTCTAGGAGCTGTGGAATACAGGGATTTCAATTAGACTTCTATGGGAACCAGAGTCCCAGCTGTGCGTCAGGGAAGCTGCCTCTGTCACCTACTAGTGCTAGACAGGAAGTGCAGGTTGTGTCCTGCTAGCCAGAGCCAACAATCCCAGAGTATCTCTAGCAACAGCTTAGCTGTTATAAAGACGGATAGCATTAACTGCTATCAGCACAGGTCCCTTCTCTTTCCTCTCTTTTCATTTACATAACTGCCAGGACTTGGCCCGGAATGCTTTGGTATACCATATCAGTACTGGATAGATAGCCATATTGATATCCTGCTTCTGCAGTTTACCATCTTAGCCAACTGCTCTGATTGACAAAAACAAAACAAAACTAAACATTACCTGCTGCAGTGCAAACCAGCTGATCTCACCACATGACCCTTCCTGACAAATTCTGGTGTGTTCCTTGGGGCTTGGCCCTCCCTCCTCCTCTGATCTTGCCGGAGCCCTAGGTCACCAGCACAATTCCAGGAACCTCTTAAAATGTGAAGAGGTGCTTACAGGGGAAAGAGTAGGGAGGATCCTTTTATCCTGCATGGAGACAGGAGGGTTGAGTAGTTTTGTTTTCCAAAACAGGTACTTTGTGTGCATGTATATAAATTACAAACCAGCCTATAGCTCTCTTCTAAAAATAGAATACTGAATGTTAGCAGAGTGGCTACACCTTGATTTCTAAAATATCTTGATTGCACTGGGGGCACGAGGTTTGTTTTACTTGAGGAGTATATCTAGTCTGGTTTTCATTTGCTCCTCATCCTCTCATGTCTCCCCTGGACATGTCCTGCTGTTTCACAGCTCAGGGCCTTTGCTCAGGCCATCACTTGAGGGTCTGTGAGGATATGGTCCTCTCTCACTCTCAGGGAACAAATTCCTACTCATTCTTGGAGACTCAGCCCAGAATATTGCTGTCTCCTCTACCCTACCCCCGTACCTACCTAAGCCTTCTCCTCACTGACTTCTTATCCCTCTATGTTTTGCATCTTCCTCTAGTGGAAATGTCAGCTGTGTCCCTGTTCCCATCTAGACAGTAAGGTTTTGGGGAATAGCAGATGAGCTGGAGTCAGGGTAGACCTTCACACCCAGGAGGTGCTTCCATTGACCTCCTTTGCTCCACACCGACCTCTGTGCTAGCTCAGTCTGGATGCTGTCCTGCCTTGAGGAGCACTGTGGATCCCTGGCATGCCTGCCCTGACAGTTCCTTGTTTTTACAAGGCTGACATGTAGGGCTGCTTAGTAAATACAGTTCTATGATCTCTCCACTCTTATCTACATCGGGAATTCTTAACACATTTTGGTCTCAGAACCCACTTACAATCTTAAAAATCATTGAGGGCATCAAAGAGCTGTCTTTTGTTTATGTGGGTTACATCTATTGGTAGTTACTGTATTACAAAATAGATGGTGAAGTTATAAAAATGACATTTATTTAAAGATTGACAATAAACCCACGATATGCTCACATAAAAGTTTCTGAAATAAAAAATTTAGTGCAGAGTGGAGTTATATCATGCTTCCTACCCTTGGCACTCTGAAGTCCAAGACTAGCTCCTCTTCTGCAGTGTCCCCCCACTCTGCACACTGTAAATGTCCCACAGCATCTCTGGCCACCACTATGCTGTCAGTCAAACAGTTGCCCAAGGTCCCCTGTGCAAGGGGAGGGAGGAAAGAGTATCACTGCCAGTGAGAACTACTATTTGATTATTTGGCAAATCTTTTTAATGTCTCCATTAATAGAAGACATGGAGATTCTTATGTCTGCTTCTACACTCAGTCTCTTGCAATTTGTTACTTTGATTAAAGCATATGAGGGAATCCCAGCCTTATACATATACTGTACAGAGTTAAGAAAAGAATTTTGTAATCTTTTTAGATAGTTGCAATTGTTCCTTTTTGATACTACACCAAACTTGGCCACTGGTGATGTCTTAAAGGTCAGTTGCAATGTGAAAATATAAAAACATTATCAATCAGCTTTTCCTACTCTGCTATGCCATTTAAAATATACTGGTTTATGTTGAATTTTAGTGGCTCTTTATCTATGCAAGGCTTCCTAACACCAGACTTTAGGTATCTGGAAACATTTAGGTAGGTCTTAAATTTTGACACATCTCACTAAAAGATACTAAAAATCTTATTAGAAAAAAATTAAGTACGAGGCAGCTATCAAGATCAGAAAAGCAGATGCCAATTTTCCAAAATTCTAGTTTACTCTTGAAAGTTCAGGTTTTATCACAGCCCCCGCCAAAACCCCACAACCAAAAAACCAAAAACTGTCATTCTTCTTCCTTGAAGTGACCTGCTCATTGTGTTTTGAGAAATCTACTGCTAAACACCAGGGTATACACTATCAGAGACTGTGAGTTGTTTTTTAAAGTAAAAATCACAATGTTTCATGTAGAGAACGGCTTTGCTAGATCAGCCTGACATTCAAACAGTTGCACAGAGCTTTTGCTTGAGAAAACTGCTGCTCTTTGATAAGAAATTCAAGGGACTTATGTGTACTTCTCTTATTCTCACAAAGAATCTTGTAAAAAGTGTGCTCAAGAGTTAGAATTTAATAAAGTTAAAAATGTTTATTACTTTATCAAGGTCATTCCTAATCAGACCCAGCTTCCTCCTGCTTCCGTGAGCACCCAGCTGAGAAGGCTACAGTGATGGCTAGGTTAATTCTGCCTTGACTTGTGCCAAGGCATCACAACTGTGCCCACCATTGCTTTTGTGATGTTGGTGCAGGTGATGACCCAGTGACAAAGGTAAGCAGCATCTTAAGTTTTATTATGAAAATAGTTTTGGCCATAGTGACCTCCACAAGGTCCCAGGGGTATGCAGAATACATCACTGGTCCACCTCAATGTTGTACTTTGATCATGAAATGAATCCACTGCAAGAGCCAGACATGAGACAAGAAGAGCTTCATTTATGTGACTGGCTCATGAATTGCCCAGAAATAGTCATGGTTTCAAACTCTCAGCCTGGAAGGGAATGCTGAGCTCCTGTAAGTTTCACCTCTTCAGTTTTTAGACCAGTATAGTTAGCCCAGAGAGAGGGGATTACTCACCCAGACCACATAGCTGGGTATGGCAGAACAGAAAACCCAGGTCTTCTGATTCCCAGGCCAGTGCTCTTTCTACCCTGTTATTCTCAAGTACTCGATGTGGTGTCTAACACAAGTCCACTGCATGCGTAAAGGTCGTTGTTAACTCAGCAAGAACCGTGTTTTATTATTGGTGGCAAGTTCACTGTTGGCTTATAAGTTTATCCGTCTGACTAACATTTGGGAATCTATTTTTTCCAGTTGCTTGCTTACAATTATTCTAATTGGTTGCCAGCTGTATTTAACTACGTCTCGGTGACCCTCACTTAGATCTCTTATAGAGATGATTTGTCAAGAGAACTAGGTGAATTTTTCCACCAAGGCAGGTCATATTACTATTTATGATGACCTAAGGAATCTTCTTTCCACACGCATGTTGCTTCACTTAAAGGAAGCCTTTTCCAAGGTGACTACTTTCCTTGGGTCACCTTGAGGTCACTAATTTCCTTGATCCCTAGCTTTGACCCACTGTGCCTTGTGCTTTTCAGAAGAAAACTCTGGCCATTTTTCTCTGCCTGGCAAGCGGGGAATAGAAAAAGATAGATGTGACTTCTCCACATAAATAAGCAGCAGAACACCAAGTCAAAATTATTAATGACAGTGACGATGAGAAGCACTAACCAGTGACCTGCAATTTTCTCCAGGAAGCACATGCCAGGTCTGCTTGGCTTAGAGACAGCTGAGCTGAACTGAGAAAATGAGGCCCTTTCCCCTTAGATGCCACTCCACATCACAAGACAGCTTTTTGGCCACATGTGAGAGCAGAGCAAATTGTTAAAGGGAAGTCTGAAATGCAACTTGAGAATTCTTTCTAGCCATATTTTGCTTGCATTTGTCCTACCAGACAGCTTCAAAGTTATATGCTGGTGTCTTCCTTAGAAACTACCCTCAGCTGGGACCTCCTGTCCAGGTATAGAGGTTGAACAAAGCCTCTTTGGATCAATTCCAGTGCTCTGCTTAGTCCACTGATAACTAAGGGCCATGCATCTTATGAGGGTGACAGAGGGTAGCTTTGTGCCTGGGAGCAACTTGTTGCCAAGAAAGTCCTGCCCCAGTCCTGCCTTCTATGGTGCTCCAGTACTCCTGGGTCCTGGAACTGGGTCAGTTGTCCAGGAGTTCTGTAACAGCAGGAGGCTGGCTTTTCTGGGTCAGATCTTCCAATGTGGTAAAGACTAAGCTTGTAGAGCTGGTTAATTTTGGGAATTGTTCAAGGCAGAGGAAAGCTAAAGCCATAGTGCTGGTAGCTTTGAGGAGGTTCTGATTCTCCTGGAGGTAACTGGAGAAGTAGCTAAAGATCTGGTGAACTGACTGACATCTCTAAGAAGGGCACCAAGGAAAGCCAGTTGGAGGATTGCTCAGCAAAATCAGGAGATGGAATGGTGCTTTGGCTGACCTTTAGAAGGGAAGAAAATAATACCTAGTGTTCCGAGTTACCAACCTGATAGGGCAGAAGAGCTAAAACCCTTGGATGGGTCTTTAAAATACAACAGAATAATTGATGGCATAAGGTCCTGCCCAGAAACACATATGGCCAGAAGCTAGAGGCTATGAACCAGGGCATCGCTCCTGGAGGGTAACTTCTGACAGTAAAGGTCTTCAGGAGAGAGGGAGCCACTGAAAGGAGAAGGGGAAACATAACTCCTTCTCTCCCCTTGCCCCTTACCCTCTCATAGCCTGATATGGTCAGCTGTTTCCTGGGAACTGATCATGCCTCAGTGGTCACCTGTGGAGTCCAGTGGGAGATCCCAAAGGGCAGTGCATCATGAAGGCTGACTGGGTATCAGAGTTGGCAGCTGAGGGAGCTTGTGGGAAATACAGAATCCTGGCCCAATCCTTGCCAAGAGCAAGCAGGTCACTTGGAGGCCACTGCTCTGAGGGACTCTGGATGTGGTTTCTGAGCTCAGAGGCCCCCAATTCCATTGGGGGATTCCATATACTCTATTCCACATGCCAAGGGACTTTGAAGTTGGGCCGGGATTGATATGTGTGGGCCAAGAGCTAGAGAGCACAGGGTAAAGGGCCATGATTAGGAGATGACTCATACCTCTGTAGTCACCTTTCTGCTGTCAGGGAGAACTCAGCCTCCTCAAGCTCACTCAGGATGCACCAGGCCTTGTTCTGACCACTCCGGTAGAGCCTCCAACTTTCTGCTAGATGCCAGGGCTTTGACACTCTGGCCATGTGTCCCTGTCCACTCCACTCACATCTGTATATCAGCCTGTGGTGGTTGTTCTGAGGTGCCCGGGTGCCCACATACTCTTGTCCCCCCATTGGGGCTTTTGGCATCTGCTTCGCTCCAGTGACTCAGTGGCACTATAGCCTCTTGTGGAACTGATAGTTTCACGTGTTTCTTGCAATCAGCCACCCTTTCAGGTATCAAGACTTAGTGACAAACTTCGGTCTTCTTGGGGAACTCATGCTCTCATTGTAAGAGCACATGAGGGAATGGGGGAGCCATCCTCTTTCCTTAGCTGCCTTAGATAACCTCACTGTTCAGTGACACAGATAGTCCATGACTGTGCCTTTCTTCTCAGCTTCCAGCAGTTGCTTAGTAGAGGACTTTGCTGGCTCTGTGTTCACCCTGTCAAGTTTCTTTTTCTAAGAAACTTGGGCATGATCAGGTCCCAGAGTCTTGCACCCAGGAAAGCCTCCTCCCAGGATGCTCTGCTGTGTAGTCTCCAGGTGACATCCAGACACCTGTAGCCAGAGTACTGGTGTCACAGGGTACAAAGCATGGTCACTGGTGTCAGAGGAATGGCCCGTAGCTGTCATCTTCAGATCTGGATGTATGCTTGAGAGGCAGCTGTGGCTTTCGGAAAAGCCTGCTTGTGGCTTACATGATCAGGCCACGCAGCCTAGGGCCAAGGCATTGGCCCAAGTGGTGTATGCCTCCCCTCACCTTGGCCTGAACTCTCAGCTGTGGCTTGCACACTTTTCTGGATGCCTGTGTGTGGAAAGGTTTCCCGATGTTCACAGGTGCCCATGCAAGGCTCAAGACATGCTCCTCACACTTAGAATGGAAAGGGACTGTTGGTCACCCTCACCCTTTACCAAGCTGAGCAACTGAAGGCCTGGTCTGGCCTGTCTCTTTCCCCTAATGTGTTCAGTCTGGGAGGCCTAATATGGGAAGATAGCGACAGCCAGAAGTCTTCCTTCAAAGTCACAATTACTCATTTCAGCATGGAATATTTAAAGTTTGATGGAATGTGAACCACCAGCGTTAATCAAAGATCACATTTTGTGAAAGCTTTTTAGAAGAGGAGATTAGGGGCTGCGGATTTAGCTCAGCGGCATAAGCGCCGGCCTTGCAAGCAGGCAGTCGCGAGTTCGATCCCTGGTACCAATAAAAAGGAAAAAGACAAAAAAAAGAGGAGATTAGAGGGGTAGGAAGACCTGTCATAAAGGAATTCACTCACTGCTTAGTGTGGGAAGGAGGGAGAAGGTAAGAGTGACGTGCTAGACACTGGGGGGGGGGGGTGTCCCATTCTCCTGGTCCCCAAACAAGGGTCCTGAGCTTGTGGAGTGGGGAGAAAGGCACCTCTGGCCTGGAGTGAACCCTCGGGCAGGCAAAGGGGCAGGGGCCAGTGAACTGGGTCCTAGGACTCACTGCCCTCCCCCTCCTCTCCCTGCCTCCTCAAAGCTCACTGGCTTGTTCCCTTGCCCTTGCCACTCTGAGCAAGCTGCTTGGCTGTGAGAGGGCTGTTCAGTGGGTCCTGCTTCCCTCCATCCACTCTGCACCCATGCTGTCCTGCTCTCGGTACAGTGCCACAGGGCAGTGCCACATAGGCTGCCAGCAAGGCTCCATTCTGAAGGCCTAGTTGGCCAGTGGCTCTGATTTCCAACCCCTCTCCCTGAAAGATCTTGGGGTGAGGTGGGGTGCAGCCCACTAATCTGAAAATGGCCTTCATCCTTTTGTCTGCTCTTATCCAGACAGGTGGAGGGGAAAAGGGCGGAACTCATCTGCTCTTTGAAGATACAAGAACAAGAATCTCAAGAGGCACAGGAGACATGTCTGTCCCATTGTCACCCATTCATGACATAAGAGGTGGACAGGGCTACCAAGTTCCAAGGTTAACTCTTTGCCTCGACTACATTTCCCCTTCACTATCCTCTGTGACGTGGACTACAGGTCTCCTGGTGATAACCCAGGGAATGAAGACATTCAGTGAAATGCTTCGGATCCCACATCTCCTCTTTGGGAATCTAACGAAACTTATATATCCCTTTCCAAAGGATAAAATTAATACTTTTGTATTTGCCACCATGCTGTTCTCTAGAATTTCAAGAGACCAAGAAGCTCTGAAACACACGGCTTCAGCAGCAGAGGTGACAGCAGGGCGCGCTAGCCTTGTGAGTGATATGTGGAGCCACATTACTCCCACTCACAGCCCATCTTTCCCCCAGGAGATAACTGACCTGGCCTTCAAGATCCACCCAGTGAGAGGGGCTGCAGAGGGAGCTGGCATAGCCATGAGGAGGGAGAGCAGCAAGCCGCTGCTGCAAAGGGGCCGAGCACAGCTGTCTTCTTCCTTCTGTAAATAACAATTCAAGGTGAGAGAGAAAACAAAGGTCAGCAGACAGAAGGCAAACCCCAAGCAGGGAAGCAGAGGACACAAAACAGAAACTTTGGGGTCTGCTGAGACACACCCCATTTCTGTGGTGAGCGTGGCAAGGGCCTGCTGGTGGGAGGAGGGCATCTAGCCTCCCTGACCCTACCTGCCACAGCAAACTGAGACCAGAGGTAAGAGTCCCATTTCACAAAACCAAGGAGACCCCTGTATTCTTCTTCTCTTTTTTTGTAGAGATGTCTTGTGGGGATTAAATGATCCTCCAGTTTCTGGGGGAGATTGGTGGGATCTCCAAGCTTGGGGTCTCTGAGCACCATGAACTGCCTGGAGCTGGGGAGAGAAGAGACAGTCATAGGTGACTCAAGGGAGCCCGAGAGCTTGGTTACGCATAGCACAAACAAATCTAGTCAAACTCTCAATTCTCACCTCCAGTACCAGCACAATGTCCTGACCTTGCTAAGCCTACTTTGGTTCTGTAGCCCCCTTGATCTTGCTCTCTTCTTCGCTGCATCAGAAAGACATTTAAAAATGTGTCACATCAAAAATTTGGAAAATGTAGAGCATCAGGACACAGAGAAATATGGAAAACTAATACAGAAAGAAGAAATAAACATTACCGACAACCTCTGGTCCCCAGATTTAGGTACTATTGACATTTGGTTGCCTTTTTCTATTCTGTTCCCTCTGCCCCCCACCTATATTCAGCAGCATTTTGATAATGCTTCCTTCCACTTTTGGGGGGGTCTTTTCCTCTGCTTTCCCACTCCGAAAACAGCATCACTGCCTGCTAACAGGGCTGTACACTACTCTGTGCAGTTGTCTCCTGTCTTTGGCCAAGAGAGATACTTGTTCTCCATCCTTCATCCCGGCAATGGAGCTGGAGCAATGGACAGTGAATCAAACACTGGGGAATGGAAGTCCTGGCTACTGACCCTAACTAGGGTGAAGGTCAAATGAAAATTTCACTTTGACAAGAAGAGAACAACACTATAGGCCTCCAGAGCAACCCAGGTTCTGAGAATTATACATCTGTGATGAAAAGTCAGAACAGCAACCAGTCCTAAAAGACTTTATAATTTGCTTTTTGAGCCAATGAAAATTTGGGCAAAGCTTGCTCTTTTCCATTCAATGTATTTCATTCACCTCCAGTTCAGAGAGCTATCCCTCTCCCTTGCTTGACAAGTAATGAAGCCTGCTCTGGTGGCCTATGTCATTCTCCCCACGGCCTGGCTCTCCTGCCAGTCATCCCTGTGGTCAGTGCTTCATTGTTGTGTTTCCAGGTGCCCACTGTGCTTGGATCCTTTTCCCGGTGTGTATGTCAGGGGAGGTTTCCCAGCGCTTCTAGGGGAAAGTGGAGGCTGATTGTCTTTACCAGCTTGCTCAGAGGGTCTCTACTCAAAATAGCCAGGTTTATCTGGTTGATGCACATCCACTTGCTTTTCTAGAGAGGAGTTCTTCCCTTAAATAGTGCATTTATAGAATAAATGGGCAGAATCGTTTGTTTCTGTTAGTGTGGCTTGAGAGCCGGTAGCAAGGGCTATGATTCCCACCTCTTACAAGATGGAGGTTTAATTGTCCCAGCCTGACACATTCATTCACCGCCCTTGCACACTAGCAAATCACATGTGGCCTTCAAAGCCTTTATAATGAAAAAAATGTGGTCATATTGGTTTTCTGTTATGTAACTAAGTCCAGGCCTCTTCGACTGTGCCTGCAAATTGAGACAAACAACAATGCAAAAATTTGTGAGGTGGATTAGCAAAGGAAGGCCTTTTGCAGTGACATGCAAGGCAACTGATACCTAGCAGAAGAGCGCTGTGTATGTGAGGGGGTGAAGGCAAAGCAGAATAGGGGGACGAGGGAAAGGTTTGCTTGAGTGCAGAAATGATGAAGACCGTTGGGCTTCTTCCTACCCTCTGTCCAGCTTGGAAGTAGCCAGTGAAGGGGAGAAGATCAGGGGACCTGTTCCTTTTTCATGATCTATCATACAGAGACAGAGTTGGACTCAGGATGGAATTGAACCAAGGCAGATGCCACACTAGGTGCTGAGAAAAAGTTTGAGAGGGTTCCCAAGCCCTCTGACCTACCCTTGTCATTACATCCAATCATACCACTTTATAGTTAACTTCAAATTAAAACACTTTATCCCCCAGCAAGGTTAAACTTTGTAAATTTTACTCTTCCGTGATCCCTCTTTGACCACCATAAAATTTGCAAGTTCTCGAGCAGTCATCTGTTCAACCCCTTTGCTCTATCCATGATGTGGTTCTGACACTACGAAGTGGCTTAGCCTTGTTCAGCCCTCAAGTCAGCAACAGCACCTCTCCAGGCGATGGCAGTTGGTGGCATCAGACCCTCTGCAATTCAGGTCCCCTATGAAGTCTCTCAGAAGCAAAAAATCTTTTTTTTTTTAAGGATCAAGAGTTACTTTACGAATATTCCCCCACACTCCCCATCATACCTAAGAAATTATGTGGATTATTGACAGCATCAGCTTCTAATTGTGCTTTTCAATGATCAGGCGGTTGGTTTGGCTGTGGCCTCGTCCCAGACTTGTCAATAAACCCTGGGCCATCAAGTGCTACTCGCCTGGGTTTTGTGATCACTCCATCCTCTGACTTTTGGTAGGCAATGCTGAAGTTAGGGATTATGGGAAGGAAGACAATGACAGGATGGGGTGTGGGAATGATTGAAGTAAACATATACTGAGCTGTGAGTGTATCCTTGACATTATGCTTAGCACTTACTCATTGTTATTCCATTTTATAGATTAAGAAGATTAAGGTTTAGAGGGAGGTTAAGTAATTTGCTCAAAGTCTTATGTCTGGTAAGAGGATCCATCATCCAAATGTAGAGCTTCCTGATTTCAGCCTAAGTTTATCTCCTCTGTGCTCATGCATCAAATATATGAGGAGGAAACCAGGTTCCCAGGAGTTTCTTAACTGGATGCAGCAAATAATGAGTCTCTTATATTGTAATATTTGCACAACTGAGTTTGATGGGATTTTGAGCACCTTAGTGAAAGGACATATCCAGTTTTGGCCAGAACTTGGACCATTTTGCCCATTTTTAACAGGAGAATAGAGACTGATGTGGCTAAAGAAACTGAGGCTTTGATTTTGTGCTGATGAAGGGCTTTTCAAACTCATATACTTTTAGCTGTTTATTTGTCCATCTACAAGCATTTCTTAGAAGCTTCCTCTATCAGTGATGGAGCCCATGAGTGAGCATGGGTGTGGCCCCAGCAAGTTACAACTCAGATTCAGAGGTCTGTTGTCTAATTCCAATAAAGGTTTCTGCAGGTGATCTAGAGCACTTTCTGCAATTCTTCGTCTTTCCCACTTCCCAGATGTTACTTTATCCACAGGAATCTTACCACAGAGAAAGGGGGAGATGATGGAAAAAAGTTAAGACTACTTAGCACTTGTGCTAATATTTTTTAGAAGGATATGTAAACCAAAGACCCACAAAAGGGTTTGGCATTACTTGTAAATATATCTCTTATCCTTAGTATTCCATTTCTTTGGCCCTAATTTAGGCTCACGGTGTGTTATGCCTTAGATCCAAAATATCTCCCCCTACCTCCCCAAAATCCACATTCTTTATTTGGAGGTGATAAACTATGGGGTAGTTCATCATTAAACGTGCTGTTAGGAGGCCATGTTACAGATGGTCACTGGGATCGTGACCTGGAAAGGTGGATTCTTATCCCAGCTCTTCCCTTCTCTCTGCAGTTCCTGGCTGCAGTGGGATGAACATTGTTCCTCCACCATGTCATTCTGCCTTGGAGGCAGCAAACCATGGACTGAATCCTCTGAAAACTGGAAGCCAAAATAAACTACTTCTCCTTAAGATGCCGGGCTCAGGTATTTTGTTTCATTGACAAGAAGATGACCAGCTTATAAGGCAAGGGCTAACTGTCCACTTCACATTCATCCCAGCATCTTCAGCTCAAACTCAGAATTAACTGCCCAGGTTCCACTTGCCTGGCCCAACGGAATTAACGGAAGCTCTCAACAGCCCTCTTGTAATTTCATGGGACAGAACCATGTTTTTAACAGACACGGGCTCCCCTTTCTTCTGAGACAGAATAAGGAAGCCTTTCATGTGGAGTCCAAGCATCAGCCAGAGTAGGAGTTTGGGCTGTTCATTTATTCCCATCCAGAAGCCCCCACTTTTCAACATAAGTGTCTGAGCTAACTTTTTGAAGAGCATCTGACAGATGCAGATAGCAGCCAAGGAGGGCGAGCAAGAACATGATAGTATTTCAGGAGGTCAGCAGTGTCCTGACTGGTGTTGTGACCTTGGGCTAAAAGGGGGCAGAAGAAGGTTTAAGTGAGGTATATATGTTCATTAGACAGACTTTTAGTCCTGTCCTCAGATCTGCAGGCAGATGGGGAAGACATGAAAAGCATTAATCATAGCACAGGTTTAGGGACCTGTGCCCTTTGAGGAAGGCAGCGAAGGGTGCAAGTCTGGGGAAATATGTATAGAAATAGTGAAAATAAGGGAAAAACCCTAGGATTCAGGGCTTGGTTATGATAGGATGAAAGCCATCCTGGAGTGCAGAGCCATACATCGAAACTCTGAGAAGCACTGAGAGAGGCAATTCATGACTGCAACAATGACACTTATCCCAAGAATTTCTTTCTGGTTGTTGGCTCTAGCTTGAAGGTCATGCATGCTTGATAATGCCTTTACATACAGGCAGGCTTGTGAAGCTCTTTGTCTTGGCCACTTTGAAGATTTTTCCTGGCTAAAGATTATTACGTAGATTAAAATATCAAGTTCGGTTATTGGGTCATAGATACAGCTCAGTGGTGCAGCGCCTGTTTGGCTGGTTGGCAAGAAAGAGGTCCTGAGTTTGATTCCCTGTACCAAAAACCCCTCAAAAAATGAAACAAAATAAAAAAAAAATCTATATCTGTATTTTAAGGAAGGATATAGTTGTCTTTTCTTCATGTTAACAAGAAGTTGGACAACAAGAAGCTTCATACAATTCTGTTAGAAGTTTCCTGCAGTATTGAAGGAAAAAACTGGTCTTAAACGTCCCACTGGTCCTGCCAAGCGGTGTGCTCTGGGGCAAGCCACTCGTCGTTTCAGCATCTCTGCCATGGGACTCATTCTAGTGGTTAGAAGGGAAAATAACCAGGGCCAAGATACATACATTGTAAAGAGCGGTCATCATCTTGTAACAGTGGTGCTTCTCTGTTGGTTTGTTTTAACTCCCTAGATGGCCAGTTTTACACGTTCTTGTCTAGAGAAGTCATAGGCACAATTTAATCTCTCTGTTTCTGGGTTTCTCCTGGAGGTTACTGGGAACTAATCTGCCTGATTTCTAGCATAGCTAAACAGGTGGAGCTGAGGAGGCCTCCGTGAGCTGCATTGCAGTTCTTGGTCACTGATGAGTGGCATGGATAAGGGAAAGGGGATCTTTCAGAACTTCTGATGACAATATGAATGGTGTTATTCTTGTGCAGGAAGACAAAGCAACAATGGGGAAAT